CCCCCCCCCCCCCCACCATCCCCCCGAGAATGCTGCTCCACTGTTGTTATGACCAGAAATCCCCTTCCCGAATAAACAGCAGATGCTAATAAGCAACTACTCCCATTATGGTAGAGTATAACATGCTACACTGGGAGATATTTTGTGAGGAGGGGTATCATTGGTGTGAAGGGTTTTTTTGCCCAGCATTCTTTAGCCGTCTCGACTAGGAGGGCAACAGTGCGATGTTGTGGTGAGAGCTTACTGCCATTAGATAGGGTTTCTCCGCAAACCAGGGGGCCAGGCCATCTGATTAGGGTTTAGGGTTGCTGAATGTCGCGGATTCCAGTGCAGACTTAGCTTGTATTACCGACACAGCCTTATCAGGCCGCCCGCATCAAAGTTGTGAAGCCTCGAACCTGTCGAAACGGTGCAAAGCCGTCGTGAAAGGACTCGAAACGCGCCTATCCCATTCTTTGTTAACTTCGTGCAGCCTGGTTGCCGAAACTCGACAGCCCTAAACTAGAATCTTTCCCCGCCCCTTGAAACACGGAAGCCCTAAAACTTGAGACATACCCGAAACCCCTGGTAGGCTTGAAGAAGACCTTCGCCGCGATGTGGCCGCGCGAGTGGCGCGGGGTCGCCGTGAGCTCGCCTCTGAGGCTTCTTTGGGGCTTCGGGTTTCGATGTAGGATGTAAGGACTGTAAAAGAATACCCGAAACCTCCAACCCTAAACCCTAAAGCTTTTGATCCCGAAGCCTTCAACTCTACAGTAAACCTTCTCATCCCGAAAACTTACACCTCCACCCTAAGCCCTAAGCTCTTTTCTCTAAACCCTGAATTTTAGACCCTCAGCACTAATCCAGGGTAGGTCTGAATATGATCTCCTACTACCTTTACTCCCCATATTCTTTATAAAGCCAATAAAGATCTAATTTAGGATGACCCCCCACCCTGTAATAGTGACTTTTAGGGATAATAAGGATTGTATTAGGGTCCTCTTATATTCCTATTATACCAAATTACAGGGTGGGGGGTCCTCCTAAGATCTAATGTTTACAGGGCCCAAAACCAACCCTGGTAATGCCTAAGACCCTGGGCGCAGGGCTTCCTGGTGTTGGAGCAGCTTCTCCCACAGGAGCCCTTTTGCCATGCAGGGAGCTGTTATTCCTTAAGTTTGTTTAGGCCTTATGAGGGTTGTATGGGTTTGTAGGAGTGTATATGCATTTAGGGATCAGATCTAGGGTGTATGGGTTTAGGGATCAGGCTTTAGGGGTTTAGGGTTCAAGGTTTCTGGGTGCAGGGCTTAGTAACCCGTTCTGTTGGATTCTGATCTTCAAGTTTTCCCCAGGTTCAGCGTGGATGTCTTCGTGCACAAGCATGTGTTGTCACAATGGGCAGCTTTGTTCTCTTGAGCACAACTGCTCAGCAGAAGTACCACGCTCAGTATTTCTACTGTCCTGCTACTATTGCTTAGCAGTATCCATGACATGCATGACAAGCCTTTTGTGAAACACTAAGCCCTAAACCGAAACCCTACATCCAAAAGCTTAAATGCTAAACCCTAGGCTGAAAAACCTGAAGCCCGAATCCTGAGCCTTAAATGGTAGTTTCCCAAAATAGGGGACCCCAATGTAGACCCCAAAATATTGTAGTCCTTATTATAGGGACCCCCAAAATGGTACCCCTAATTTTGGGAAACTCCCAAATCCTCAACCCTAGACCACCCTGGACTGTGCAGCACATTTCTCATGTCTGGGCCGTGGTAGCCGGCAGGTACCCCAAAAAGGATCACCTGGGTTTAGGGTTTAGGGTTTGACAGCCTACCAACTGCTACGTGAGCACCCCTATGAACTCCCATATATCCTCCCATAGGCCATTTGATTTTCAGTTTTCTGCTTGATCGATTTGATTCTCCATCATTGGGTAATCTATCCCAAAACCCCATATACCCCCATATGTCCCTATTTAAACCCTAAACCCCCATGTATATCCTTGTATGTCCCTATTACTGGGGGTACACACATGTAGACCAGTGCCTCGGGTGCAGAAGCGTATGCAGGAGACCGTCGAGCGCCTGCGCAGCCTGGCCGCGTGTCTGAATTAGACAGCTGACCAGATGATAGCACTAAATCATTATCAGAATATACAAGAAATACCAATAATAATACTAAAGCAAAAAGAGATAGTAGTAATACTCACATATGAATATATATATATTGATAGTAGCAGATTTTGTTGACAAGGGTTGAGGTTTAGGGGTTCAGGGTGTAGCCCTAACTTCTGGGAACCCTACACCGTAGCCCTGAGCTGAGCTTTCCTTTCATCATGACATCCCTGAGGTGAAGGGAGACTTGGAGAGCCTATGGCCGGAAGGTCTCTTGGTTGAATAAGGATTTAGGTTAGGTGGACCCGCCTCCCTGTAATAGTGGCATAATAGGAATATAAGAGGACCCTAATATAGCTACCATTATCCTTGTAGTCACTACTACAGGGCGGGGGGTCCACCTAAGATTTAGGGTTTAGGGCCCCTTCCCCTGGTGACAATCATGAATACTCCCCCCGATAAATAATTGCATTCTATTGGGGGGGTGTCATTCTTGGAGGAGTGAGGGCTTTAGGGGGTGAGGGGGGAATTCAGTCATGAGGCGAAGGGATACGCAACCTGTGCTCCTGAACCGCAGACCCTACGCCGGTCATATGACAGGCCCAGGGAACAAATGTTTTGACAGTTCAGGAGTTGCCCTAAAGCCCAAACCCTAGATGTCCCTCATCATGTTTTGATTCGTACCCCCTTCTTGGGATTGGAGTTGTTGTATGGTCTGATTACTAGGCAGGCTGCGTCCATCCCTTGCGCAGCTACACCCTCTAGTCGCAAAACACGAAAACTCTTTTCCCAAGACTCAAACCCCTAGCCCAATCTACTCCAAATCTCGAACTGCTGACTGACTGTAGCTGTAGCCAATTTACAATATTGGGCGCGTAGCTACTGCTACCCTACGGATAAATAATTGGGTTATAAGCACACTTACTACGAAGCTTGTAATTATTGCAGACCTCCGAACACTGTGAAATCCAAGCCTATTCCCACTTCTCTAGCTCCTCCCCATAATAAGGCCCAAATCAGCTTTGTTTGGGGTTCCTTGGAGGAGGGGGAGGTAAGGGGACCCTGAACCCCAAACCGCCTAAACCGTACACCACTAAAGGCTAAACCCCCTAAAACCATAAATCCTATACCATAACAAACAAGGCTTGATAGACTGCACACCCTCCCGGCCAAAAGACCTACCGACAATGCGCATCGTGGACCTGAAGCTTGACTGTATCTACGTGAGGGTTTCAGAGCTCCGGGGTTAGGAGGTTTCCAACAATTTGTTATGTTACTCCAATACGCTTTGGGTTTTGGGGGGCTTCAAAATGAGGGATATCACACCCACAATAAACAATAATCAATCGAAGATCAAATGGAACATGGAAAATGCATTGGGAACTGGGTTTAGGTGGGGTTTTGTAAGACTTGTCAATTCGCTTCGCCGCTCTAAACTTCAACAAGTATTGAAGCAACATGTTGACCTCCTGATGTCAGCGATTGAGCCGTTGCACAGTAAGATAGTGTGCTCGAGTTGGACTACAGGGCATGAAAGTTTGGGTTTCGATCTGAGGAAAGCAATGAACTTCGGCTACGGCTGCTTGGTCTTCCATGTTTTTGGGAGCACTTTAACTCAGTAAGGCGCAAAACTGTGGCTGTTGTAATGCTATTGTTCAATCGGCTTCATTAATTAGTGAACATGTTTTCCATAAGCCCCCTCCCGGTTTCATGAAGAAGATTCGAAGATTCCGATGGTTCGATCACGTGGCAGCAACATTTTTTTCCGTTAGCTCTCTTCTTGCTGAGCCCCACGCTGGACATGCCTGGCTTCTGATTGTAGGGTTTAGTGGAAAATGCATGAGCGAACAAGTTACGGTTACAGGATGATAGCTAGAAAAGCGTTGAGATCAATGAGCTGTGTGTTCATCTCCAAAACCTGGCTTATGTTGCCCATCATGCTCCTGGGATCTCCGGGCCGCCCCTATACCGAGAACCCCCGAGAAAATGAAATGCTGAATCATGCCTTGCGGGGAGATACATGCGGGTTGCTCTGAAGGTCCTTGCAAATAAGGGACCATTGAGAAGGCACTTCTTGAAACGGGGAACCTACAAGTATCCTGACCAAGTACCATACGCTCCTTTAATATAAGGGGATTACTCATTTAGGGGGTTCTATAGTGGAGTATTGCAGCGGTTTTTAAGGGGGATACTGGGGGTTTAGATTATGGCTCATATGGCAACCTTACCCTCATTATTTTGCCAGTTAAGACCCCACACCCTAAACCCTAAAGCCTAAACCCTTAATCCTACACCCTAAATCCTAACCCTGAAGCCCTACACCCTAAAGAGGAAAGTTTGCCTACCTACGGGAGCCTTTGCCATCACCTCTGAATACGTTGCGTGATGCGATGTACACGGCGCTTGCCCCTGTGGCCAATGCTCAGACGCTCGGCGGACACAGATCTGGCATTTAAAGGTTTAGGATTGCATCTAGCACTGCAGTTCATGGCCAGAAGAGCTATCAAGAACATGCCAATGCTGCTTTTGATGATTCCCAAACTTGTTGAAGAGAACACGTTGCATTTTCGGGAAAGTCCTTCACAGCCTCAACCGTGCATTCAGGCTACAGACAATGTTGTGGTTTCTAAGGGAGCATCAAGCGTGGACACAGGATGCCCTTTTGTTTTTCATCATTTCTTCCAAGGCAGAATTAGCGACAATGGAGAAGTATTATATGTAACAGATGTGCTGGGAAAAGTGTTTACATCGTTACAGGAGTTGTTTTCAGAGTCCACTTCAATTTATTGGAGAACATGCTCACTTAGTTTATCATCTCCCTTACCATCTCCCGCAAGCCCCCCCCCCCTCCCGGAATTTACCCTCTGGTTAAACTTCATTGAGCTTACTAAACAAAGCAGAACCAAGAAAAGTCAATGAAAAAAACTCATCTTTCTTCCATAGATCTTGAGAAACGAAAGAAGAAATCACGTCAACTTCTGAAGTTCACCCCGTGTAGATTTTCCAAGGCGAAAAAGAAGACAAAGCAAATTCAAATTCACTTCCCTAGCTCTTCTGGAGCGAAAGAAAGGATAGGTCAATCTCGACATTTCGCTTGCCCATAGAAGTCTCCAAGCAAAAAAGAAACGCTGGTTTTGTCTTGAATTTCCCCTCTCAAGTTCACCTCTGTAGACCTTCCAAAGCGAAAGAGCAGATAAGGCAACCTTGAATTTTCATCCCCGTTGATTTGCAATGCCAGACTTATCAAGGGGGAACCTTGAGGGGGAGCATAGGGAGGGGTGGTTAGGTAACCCACAAACAGTTGAGTAGTATATTACTTGGGGATACTATGTTATCCTCCTTTTGGGGTAGAATTTTTCTTTATAGGGAATATCATCTTATACGGGGTTCAACCACCAAAAAACCGCTCCACTCAGCGGAGGCTCGAGATGTTCCGGGCAGAGGTTCAGGGGGCTCAAAAGGTGGGATAAAGCTAGGTGGGTTAAAGGATCCCTATTGTAGATTCTAGGGTTTAGGGTTTTAGGGTTTTAGGGTTTTAGGGTTTAGGGTTTAGGGAAATTGGGGCCTATTTCCTTTACCCCACCTACCCTCCTCCCATCTTTTGAGCCCCCTGAGAGGTTCGTCCAAAGCCGTTTGCCCTGGAGTTGTATCCGCCGGAGAGCCTTGGAATTTTGGCGACGACAAGGCTTAGGGTGTGAGGGGTTTTCTTTGGGGAGCATATAGGGAATATATGGGGTTATATAGGCAATATCTATATATATATATACACATATTTTATATGGAAGAGATAGGGATCATGGAAAAGAAAATGAAAGCAACTGTTTAGGGTGTAGGGTGTCAGGAGGGCTTCTTGGGGCTTAGGGTAGGGTTAAGGTTTGATATAGCCTTGGATGCGCGTGAGGTTTAGATTTTGGAGTAGCGCGCATTCTTGTTGCCAGGGGTTAGATTTCATGGTTTTGGGTTTTTGAGCGTCATAAGTGAACTCTTTTGGTTCAGTTCTTATGGAAACATACGCTCCTGCCACCTCCCCATCTTCCCACGTCAGCTTCCAATTAAAAGCCCTAATCTGTGAGTCCCGAGCGCTCGCGGTTATGGTTTGGGGTTGAAGGCTCTAGGGTCTAGGGTTTAAGGTTTAGGGGGTTTAGGGTCCAGGGTTTAGGGGTATTAGGGTCTAGGGTTTAGGACTTGTTCTTGGATGAACTGATCCCTATAGTAGCCCCTACATTATTATCCTACACGAATACAGTAGGTTCTATGTTTCATCGCCCTCCCTACTAACAACCAGCAAGACTATGCTACTACTTGGAGCGCCAGGGGGACTTAGTAAGTAGGTTTAACCCGTATAACCGAGATAGTATCCCTAGTTCTGCCCATTCTTAACCCACCCTAAGCCCTAACCCCCCCCCCAAACCCTAAACCCTAAACCCTAAACCCTGACCCTCCAAGTATACCCCAAGGCCTCAGCAACTGCATCCCAGACTCTTTTTCCAAGGATCTCGGACTTCTGGAAGATACTTGGCCCTTGTTGGAAATGGGGTATAGGGTGGGTTTAGGGTTTGGGGTTTAGGGTATATAGGGGTTGTATCAGGATGATTCCCCAAATTAGGCGTATTCTGATATGATGGAAACTACTTGTTGGGAGTTTGATCTTCATGCAGTATCAGGGGCGCATGTACGACATACTTTTTTCGCTTAAGCCCTGAATCCTAAGCCCTAAGCTAAATTCTATAAACCCTACAAGACCTCATTTCTAAACCCTGAACCCTGACTTTTCAGAAGCCCGGAACCGCGTGAGGATATGCCAGGCAGCCAGTCCAGCACAGAGGCTGCCCACCTCCATCGCCTTGAGGCAGGAGGACGGGTTTAGGCGTTTGGGCTAACCCATTTGTACGGTTTAGGGTCTAGGCCCTATAGGGAGTATTGGAAGTAGGGTGTAAGCATTTGAGGATGTTTTTTGTTTGTTTATGGTGCCTAAAGAGGATACAAGGAGTTCAGACTGGGATTTTCTCAAGTTTACCCGAAACCCAAAAACCTTAAAACCTTAAACCCTACACCCTAAACCCTAAAACACTAAAACCCTAGAACCCTAAAACCCTAAACCCCATGATCGCGCTCATGCCCGGCAGCTTCACGCAGGTACTGCCCTGGTGGGTTCATGGAAGCCCACCGCGACCTTCAGGGCACCATCATGTTCCCTTTCCAGGCCGCGAAAGCTTGAACCCACAACTGTGCTTAGGGTTTAGGGTTTAGGGTTAACCCCTAAACCCTAACCCAGGGGTTTGGGGCAGTTTATGGCCTGGAGGATTGGGGGTTCAGGGCCCCCAAAACCCACAAAAGGCCTAAACCTCTGAAGTTCAGATTTGGGCTCAAGGGCTGAGAGTTTAGGATGGGTTTGAGGGCTTATGGGACTTGGGGCTTAGGGTTCACCCCAAAGTCCCCATCCTACAGCCTTAAAGTCCATTTGAGGGGGTTCCCCAAAATCAGGGGCCCTTAAACTAAGGATTATAGTATTTTTGCTTTATGATAAGGATTATAGTAGCTTTGCCTTATGATAAGGATCATAGTCTTTTCTGCCTTATGATAAGGATTATAGTATTTTTTGGTGTCTATATTGGGGTCCCCTACTTCGGGAAACTACCCTTTCCTGATCGCCTGATCGTTAAAATGCTTTACACCTAGATGGGTGCTTGTGAACATATTTGCGATGTACAGCCTAATAAGGACACCCCATAATCCCTACAGGTCCTTAGGATCCCTAGGTTACCACATCCCTAAACCTTACACCCTAAATCCTAAATCCCCAAACCCTAAACCCTAAATAGTAGTTTCCATTTTATTTTCCATTATCCCAGTGTAACCGAGCATGCCCGCACTTTGAAGAAGCTCCATCTTCCCATTGCAGGCCATGTGCCCGCTCAGCAATCCAGGCCCGGGGGGAGGGTGTAGGGTTGAGGGCCAGGGTTTCGGGTTTAGGGTTTAAGCCAGCAGTTTCCAGAATGTCAGGGCCGTAAATCCTAACCCCTTTGTTCATGTCACCCGCCTCTTCCGCAATGCTATTTGAGTCCGCAAGGGAAACTCTAGTCTGGGGAAAGATCCACTGTATGTTGTTTTGGGGTGATGCATGGCTTTCACGTAAGGGTTTGCTGCTGATCATGTGCCCGAACAGAGCGTAGGTTCAGTGTGGGCGGAGGTGGTGGCATGGAGTAGTTGTGTAGCATGCCCTTTGTTGTCTTTCAACAACAAGCTTTTTGCGCGCCAGAAAATTGAATGCTAGCCCGCGATGCCAGTTCACAGTCCCCAGGCCCCTAGACTCGACGCCCTATCCTCCCCAACATGCAAACTCCTCTCATCAAATTTTAGAGTAGTATTAATCATAATTACATGCTGAATAAGAATAATCATGATAGTACGTATTAAGAAGTATAGTTTCATTTTTATACAGGACAGTACAGTCTTCAGGGCGTCCCTTTAAAGATTCCATGTTGGTTGGGGGGAGGGTAGATCCCCAATTCGAAAGCCTAAACCCTACATATCCCGACGTACTCTGTACGTTAACCCCTAAGCCCTAACATAAACCATAGATGCATATACATATATATATATGTATGTATACACATGTAAAATACATATAGATATCTATATGTACATATGTATAGATACAAAGCATAGGTGTTCATTTTCCTTAAGGGGTAGAAAGCCAGGAATGGCTGGTTGCTGTTAAGGAATTTAAATTAAGTTACCATAAATGGTATATATAGTAAATAATAGGGTTTCCCCAATATACTAACTTAATTTAAGTTCCTTAACAGCAACCCAGATGACCCTTGTGCAAGGTGAGGACTACGAAGGCGGACGCTTCTTTGTCCAACCTGGGAAGAGGGATGTGGATCGCCGACACTGCCAGGAGCAAGGGTTTCGGATTTTAGGGCTTTATGGTTGAAACTTGTAACCCTAAGACACCCCCCCAAAAAAACCTAAGCCCCCCAAACTTCAAACCCTAACCCCCAGACCCTAGCCTTGGATTCTTGTTGAACAACATTTTCACATTTTTATGTATACCTGGGCCCAATATAGATTAAAACAAAGGTCATTTTTAATAGTATTTCAACATGAACCCAGTAGCCTCTAAGCGCAAAGCCGCAAACTCTAAAGCCTAAACCCTAAAACCCTAAAGCCTGAACCCTAAACCCTAAACCCTCAAGTCTTGGGGTTGAAGGCTTCAGGTTGACGGCTTAGTGTTTGGCCCAAACCCAAAGCGCATCTAAACCCCTAAGGGTTTAGGATTTGGGTTTTGGGTTTAGGATTTGGGTTTTGGGTTTAGAATTTGGGTTTTGGGTTTGGGGTCCTAAAGCCCCAACCCCCCGACCCCTCAGCCTTTGAAACCCTTCACGCTTTTAAAGCCCTGTACGACCCTATAAACCATTTGAAATCCCCCTTTGCAAGCAATTTCCAACATTTCCCTCGGCATCACTCGTGAATCTACACGCCGCAGGGTCCCCACAATGAAGGGTTTGGGGTTTAGGGCTGCAATAAAGAACCTCTCCACATACCCACCATGTCTTCCTCTTCCTACAGACCCCTGTCAGTATCTCCATACACTCCCTCCATTGCCTTTGTACTGTTTAGGGTTTCAGAGGTGTCCCAGTACCGGGGAAGTCTGTTGAATCGAAAAAGAGCGTTTGTTTGCAGGGGTATTGCAAGTAGAGATTCTTGTTACGGCGCATGGGGTTATCTCAAGGTATATAGGGCTTACTGATACTGAGACCAGAAATCAGAGTAGCACACGGCGATGGAAGGAGCTCTTGAAGGGAGATGTAGTCATCTTCCGAAGCGGCCTCTACCATGGCCTGGAGCAGCTGACTTCAGGGACCAGATATGCGACTTCCGGCAACTAATGGGATATCTTAGGGTTATATTGGGGTTATATAGGGATAATGGAAAAGAAAATGGAAACGACTATAATGGGATATGTTAGGGTTACACAGTTTGGGGTTTAAGGCTTGGTATGTTTGTACGCTTGTGTGGCGTAGGATGGTTGTGGGAGGAGGGCTCGGGGAGGTCGATGACCGGAGGCGTCCTACGGTTTGTAAGTACACTGTAGGCAAATATGGCTCCAAAAGAAAAGGTACTGTTTGCGTGGTCTTGAGAATGAATAAGGATTAAAGTATGCTGGGGTCTGTATTGGGGGGCTCCTTATGATGGAACCCTCCGAGTTGGCAAGGCAGTGCTGTTGTCTGCGACTCATCCTGAAGCTAAGCGAAGCGACCTATGCTTTTTGCAGAGAGTTTGGGTCGGAGCTTGCCCGTAAGGACACGGGCGCTGTAGGAGCCTCATATCGGGCATGTTTGAGTCTGGTCAAGAAGTGCGGCAAATATCTCCTGCAACGGAGCATCTAACTCAAGGATTGAGGTTGCTTCCCATTTTCGAACGCTTACCCAGGGGCCTAATCCCCCAAGCATAAACTTGCCGACAATCCCTTTGCCATATATGCGCAGTATTTGTGTCATAGCCCTCACAGCAACAGAGTACTAAGAACCGCTGGGTAAAACTATCGCTGCAAGGCTAAGTGGCACAACCAAAGGGCCCCAACACCATCCTCAGCCCACTCAGGGTGGGTTTGGGATTGAGGGTTTAGAGTTTACAAATGCAACCTAATGC